GCCAAGGAATAGAGGCAGCCCCTGGAGGCCGGAAAAGGCAAGGAAAAAGAATTTTCCCTTACTGCTTCCAAAAGGAACACAGGTATGCTGACATCTTGATTTTAACCTTATAGACCCGTTTTGTACTTCAGACCTACAAAACCCTAACATAATAAATCTGTGTTGTTTTAAGCCACTTAAGTTTTGATAATTTGTTACAGAAGCAATAGGAAACTAATACAGAATACAAGTCCATACCAGTGATTAATAGATATGCTAATTCATATTAGTTACTTTGCAAAAAAACAAAAAAAATGCTTATATTTGCCAAGCTCTAAATACTTTTTAACTTATCTATGAAAAATATTTTTATATTTATGTAACCTTTTTAATTCAATAAAACATACATAAAGGTATACTAATCCTAGGCTTATGTCTCAGTTAACTTTCACAAGATGAACAGATTCATGTTAACTAGCACCTGGATCAAAACGAGACTTTACCAGACATTACAAAACCCCCTTGTAGTTCCTTCCAGTCACCACCTGCCCCAGGAATAACCACTATCCTAACTTGTAATAGACAAACCTGTTTTTAAATTTAATGCAACTGGTACTATGATATTTTGTATTTGCCATCTTTGTCTCATTATTAACATTGTGAGATTTATCCATGTTCTTAATTATAACTATAAATCATTTTCTTTGCTACATAGTACTCCGTCATGGGACTAAACCGTAATTTATCTATCAGACTGTTGATAATGGACATTTGGATAGTTTCCTGTTTGGAGTTACGAGCATCCTTCTATATGTATTTTAGTGAACATATGCTCACATTTCTATTGAATGTATATTTAGAGGTGAAATTGCTGACTCATGGTATATACTATATTCAGCTTCAGTAGCTACTACCTGTTTTCCAAAATATCTGTACCAATTTACATTCCCACGCTCTATATCCTCACCAACTCTTAATTTAAAAATCTGGTTTAATTAAAGGTAAATTACTTAATATTTATAAGCCTCCAAGGCTTTAGCTTAAAACTTTACAAAAGGGCAGGATTTCACTTTTTAAAAAAAGGGGGGGGATTATGACTTAGCTTAGTTTTTTAGTTAAAGAAACTGAAATATATTTTAGGTGACTTAACTATATTATTGCCAGAATTTTCTAATAAAGAATCACCTTTATTTTTCCCTTTGCTATTAGTAAACCACCATGAATGGGAACAAATTCTTTATACAATCCAAATCATTGTGTATTTCTGACTACTCTGTAGCCCACACTATTGATTTCCAACTCTGAGGAACTAAGTGGTCTAAACTCTGGAAAGAATCTGAGTTAAGCAATTGTGCTCATCAAGAATTAAATGCATGTAATCACTTCCATATACTAAAATACTGATCAGCAGCCTTGAACACAATTTGTGCTAATATTTCAAACAATGTTATGCTCCTTGCAGTGCTGGATCTTCAATTTCATGTATTCCAGTCATGCTCAAGAAGAGATAATTAGAAGATTTCCCATGGGTTATAGCATTAGAAAGTTGTTTTTTTTTTTATGAAGCCCATGAGTTGCAATGGTACCTTTCCTATCATAATATGGGCTCTAGTTATTATGATGGCATTTCATGTTTTGTAAATAAACTAATTAAATGCCTACATATATGTAAGTACAGATACTTGTAAATACTGGATCTTAACATATTCTCCATGAGGTTACTGTTCACTGGGATAAAGACTCAATAAGCAACACTGGAGCAAGTACGAGCTCAATGAAAGACTCAGAAATCATTGCTGAGAAAGTGACCATCACAGAGTTTCTGGTAATAATGGGTATGATTATTTGGATTAACCCTCTCACTGAAAATAGTGCAAGATGCCAGGTAAAATATAAAAAAAAACAAAATCTTAAAAGTATTTGAGATCTGAAAAAGACAGCAGGGGAACTTTCAGACCAATCTCCTGAATGAAAGCCTTAACTAGTGAGTGGAGTAGACCACGTGAGCACAGAGCTGATAGTGCTGCGGAGGTAAGGACCAGGAACACAGGCGCACGCTCCGCGGGAGCCACCAGGGCCAGGCAGAAAAGTGTGAGTCCAGAACCTCCCAGCCTATGCAGTTTTGTATCATCTCCTACCCTGAGCTGGGCACTGAGAAGGGGGTGGGGGATTACACTCTCGGAGTAAGAGAGAAATCATTCTAGTGATATAGTGATCGAGTCACCAAGCCCTCCACACACAATCACACTCCTGGGAACTGCTGAGGAGGCTGCCCTGGGAAGTTAGGATCTCAGACCTATAGTCTATTTTACTTAAAGGTCTGTATTTTACTTAAAGAGAGCTGCTTTTTAAGTTCAGCCTTTAATAAGTTAATATGCATAATGTAAATTTTAGGGTAAGCAGTAAAAAAAGAGGGAGTACCTAAATACTAACATTCTACAGAGAAAAAAAATTTTTTTTAAGATTTTTATTTATTTATTTGACAGAGACACAACAAGAGAGGGAACACAAGCAGGGGGAGTGGGAGAGGGAGAAGCAGGCTTCCTGCCGAGCAGGGAGCCCGATGTGGGACTCGATCCCAGGACCCTGGGATCATGACCTGAGCCAAAGGCAGACGCTTAACCGACTGAGCCACCCAGGCGCCCCTACAGAGAAAATTTAATGAAAAAAAAAAAGTAAGTCATTAGGAAGGAAGATAAATTGGAGGTGAGAAAAGAGAAAATATGTATGACAAAGTCTGAAAGAAGATGGTACAATGAAGCCCAATATACTAACAATTACAGTCAATGTAAATGGAGTACATGCTCCATGTTAAATAAAGTTAAATACTGGTCAAATTCGATTTTTTAAAAATGCTATACAATATTTACATGACACAGATCTAAAATATAAGGAAAGAGCTGTTGGAAGGAAAAAAATGAAAGAGCTGTATCAGCAAATATAAAGCAAAAGAAAGTATGTGTGATTATATTAAACGAGACAGAAGAGGCCTTAAGGCAAAAAGCATAACTGGAAATCAAGGTCACTTCACAATGAAACAAAGGTAATTTCATAAAATGACACAAGAATTTTAAATTTTCATGCACCTAATAACATGGCTTCAAAATACCTAAAATAAAAACAATTACATAAGGAGAAATAAATTCATAATGGCCTTAAAGGAGACTTATACACACCTCTCTCAGTAAGTTATAGAAAAATGACACAGAAGTCAAAATCAAAATCACAGAAATACCTTGACGGGCATTTCATAAACAAATATTCTCGAACAGCCAATAAACATTTGAAAAATAATTCAGCCTCATTAGTAGTCTTGATCCTACCATTTAAAACTATGGTGAAATATCACTATATATTCATTCATGAAAAGCCTGAAATAACAGGAGTTGAGAAGGATGTGGGGATCAGGTACTGCACTGCTGGTGTGAATATAAACTAATACCACCTCTTGGAAAACACTATGGCATTTTCTAGACAAAATGAGTTTTTAAATATTCTATAACCACTAATTCCATTCCTAAGTATGTATCCTAGAAATACTGCATGCTTACGTGGTGCCAAATACAAAAACAAGAATCTCCACAGCAATATTTTGTAAATGTCAAAAGCCAGAAAGAGCCTAACATCTACCAAGAAAAAAATAAGTAAATTGTGATATCTGCATAGACTCAGATTTCAACACTGGGATACAATACACTGATGAAAAATTAAACCATAAAGATACTTAACAACACAGATATTCTACAAACACTGAGCAGAAAAAGCGAGTCACAAATGAACACATAATATTGATACAAAGTACAAAAGCAGACAAAACCAATCTATATTGTTTAGGAATGCATACACAGGCCTACAAAGGAATACATGGGAATGATTACTATGAAAGTCAGAATAGTGGCCCCTCTCTTGGGAGGAAAGGAATCATGACGGAGGGGAATTCAGGGCTATGGTCATGGTTTTTTAACCAAGTGGCAATTTCTCAAGCACTGGCTTTGCAACTATTTGTTAAACCACACACGTTTTAAGGCACTTTTAAAGAGGAGAAGAAGGAGAAGAAAACAATCATAAATTGGTAGAAATTTTCTACCCTTAGAAAATAATTATTCCCTCTCTCTTGAAACATGTGTCCTCAGAGTCCCCAGATGCCATGTAAGAAATCAGGCCACCCTGAAGTCACTCTGCTGGAGAGACCACATAGAGGATGGAGAGAGTGCCTGAAGAGTCCCAGCTGGAGGCAGACATGTGAGTGCATGAGTCCTCAGATGATTCCAGTCCCAGGCACCACTGACTACAAGAACTTGAAAGACCCCAAGTTAGAACTGCCTTACTGAGTTCAGTCAACCCCTAGAACCACTAGAGAAAATAGGAAAATGATAACTAGGGTACTCATCCTACCTGGCTTCTCTTCTTGAGGCTTTCTGTGAGTGAGAATGAAATCACATAGCCTCTCCTCCCTCCTCTAAAGTCAGCGCTCAACCCACCTAAGGATGGCTCTAAGGCAGAGCTTCTGAAATGTGTGCAATTTCACTGCCCAGAAGACATCTGGCAATTTGTAAAGACCTTTCTGTTTGTCACTGAAGGGGGAAGGAGTAGGTGCTACCCACATCTAGTGGGTAGAGGCCAGGGACACTGCTAAACATCCTACAATGCCCAGGAGAGCCACCACAAGGAACAGTCCATCCCCAAATGCCCATAGTGCCAAGACTGAGAAACTCTGCTCTAAGAGTTTATGTGGTTGGGTACAACAAATAACCAGCAAAGAAGCAAGAAGAAGCAAGCTGGGGGTAAGGTGTGGACCAGAAGGGAAACAGACTAATGAGCATAGGCAATCCCAAAGAAGTCAACAAGGAGGGAAGACACTTCTTATGTTCATCTTATCGGGGGGGGGGGGGGGGCAGCTTTTCTGAATGGTTATTTCATGTGAGGAACATACATGAACCAAACATATGTAAATTAATCTTTTTACATACAGAATTACCAAGTAAACAAAAAAATTTTTCTCACAAGCTGTCGGAACTGACCGTAGAGCAATAGTCTTTCAACAAAATAGGATACTGTATTATTGCTTCAAAAGCCGACAACGTGATCTTGATAAATTCTTCTGATGCCATCAGTCCTAGGGATATAGTTAATTATTACAGGTGTTGATTTTCATGTGCAAAATCATGATATCAAAGTATCTCAAACAAAGACGTAAACTGTCCCATGGTCTACTCACCTATAGCTCCATCTATGTTCGTTTCTCCTGAGTCTACAGATTTAATATGACTCTGTAAAATATAAAAATTAATAAGTGAAGATTTCAAAATAACTCTGAAAGAAAATATAGATAATGTTTTCCCCAAAACAGCACCTATCCTTCTTACTGAAATAATTCCTGGAAGGTATTACATACCATATACAATTTATTAAACTCTATAATCGTCTTAAAATATGATCATATGAAATAATATATATATATATTATAAACCATAGTCATTTTTAAACATACAGATCACTATCCATGATATTTAATGTTGGAATAAATTCAATAGAAATAAAAGCACAGAAAGATCAACCTATAAAAGTGAGGAAAATCCAATTAATACATAACCATTTCCAATATGCTACACTTACTCACTCGCTACCTTGGATGTTAGTAATCAGGTGAAACAATCCTCTCAAAGGAAGGTCAAGCCTTATCTACCCTGAGTGCACATTGCATCGAGATGCAGTAGTTCAAGGACTGCCTTCAAAGTTCACCACTGTTGTTAGTCCCTCTTATATATGTCCTACCCCAACCCCAAACCCAGCCCCATCCGTGCAGGATGACCCCCAACTCTGTTCTAGAGGCAGGCCTACGCAGCTCGGCTATGAGCTCCCTGCATGAGTTTCCCAGTCCCCAGCTGAACGCACCACACAGAAGAGGTACTCTGTGAACACGATCTGAATGAAACAGTAATAATAAGCAGCGTGGCCATGTTGGTGATGTGCGGAAACACTGCAACAGAGTTCTGGCCCCCAGCTCATAAAAGAATACATATATAATATTTTATATATAATAACAAATAGCAAATAAAGTATAAAATTACCCTGGAATAGAAAAAAACAAATAAGCAATCAGTCTGGAGGGAAAATGAGTCTACTTGGTCCAATGGTTCTTCTCAAAATACTTGGTAAAGTTATTCACTAAAATACTAAAGTACAGTAACAACTATATATAACAATATAAAAGAACATATGTGTAGGCTTTTGTGCTATAAAAAAATAAAGAAAAATAAAGAAAATCCTTAAACTCATATTTGAGTTAAGAACTAAGACATTCCAGGGGCACCTAGGTCAGTCAGTCAGTTGAGCATCCAACTCTTGATCTCAGGGTTGTGAGTTCAAGCCCTACACTGGGCTCCATGCTATACTTAAAAAAAAAAAAAAAAAAGAACTAAGACATTCCCAATTCTTTGCATGAGCTTCCTCACCCCATGTCATGTTTTTGGAGATAACCACTGTCATGAATTTATCATTTCCTTGGCATTTTTAAATAATTTTACTAGACTTGTGTCCCTAAATTGTATACTGTTTGTGTATTTTTGAACTTCACTGAAATGGTATCAAACTGTACACAGTTTATACAAATAGGACAGTATATAGCCATTAAAATGTGGGGAAAAAAGAAATTTTTAAAGTTATGGGAAAATACTTATGAGTCAAAATTAAAGAGAAAAAAAACTGGGGTGGCTGGGTGGCTCAGTCAGTTAAGCATCTGACCCGGTTCTGGCTCAGGTCATGATCTCAGGGTTTTGAGATCAAGCCCGGCATGGGGCTTCCCACACTCAGCAGGGAGTTTACTTCCCCTCTCCCTCTGCCCCTCCCCCTGCTTGCTCTCTCTCTCACTCTAATAAAATAAAATCTTTTAAAAAGTTAAATAGAAAAAAGAATACAAATCTATATACACACAGCATAATCTCAACCACATGTATCAGTGTAGGTCATATACATATATGTTACACATACAGTTTTCTACACACAGATGCATATATATGAATTGAAAACACTCTAAGTAAATAACAATATGTTAACAATAGGGTTGTTTCTGAGAGTGGTGAAGTTATGGGTGCTTTCTCCTTCAAATCTCACTATAATTTTCTACATTTTCTTGAATAAGCATATATTTTATAATTTAAATAAGCACAAATTGCCTTTAAGACAAAATCTCAAAGACATATGCTCTTTGAAAGCTGAACATATGAGACACTTTAAATTTTTTTCAGTCTATGACTACAAAAACAAAAAAAGATTAAAAAAGAGGGGTGCCTGGGTGGCTCAGATGGTTAAGCGTCTGCCTTCAGCTCAGGTCATGATCCCAGGGTCCTGGGATCGAGTCCCGCGTCGGGCTCCTGGCTCGGCGGGGAGTCTGCTTCTCCCTCTCTCTCTGCCTCTCCCACTGCTCATGCTCTCTCTGTATCTCTGTGTCTCAAATGAATAAATAAAATCTTTAAAAAAAAAAAAAGATTAAAAAAGAAATAACCATAATAAATAATAAAATAAAATTTTAAAAAGGTAAGGTAAGCCTGTCATGCTAATTTGGCTGTAATAGTTTCACAAAATTCCAAACTGGGCACATAACTTTTGCTGAGTACATACGGATTTGATGTTGAATAAAATATTCAAAGAAAGATGTCTTTTGACTTAAATAAATCTATTTAAAGATCTGCGGATTACTAAGTAAAGAAAGAAGGCACAGCACAGTATTTATACTATCATCTCTCCTGTGTATATATTTTTAAATATAGATCATACACAAACACAGATGAGGACAAAAATTCTGGAGGAAGAAATCAAAGGAAAGCACTAACAGAGGTGCTGGCCTGGGAGGTGGGCTTTCACGCTTCATTTTCTGCCCTTCTGCACTGTTGGAATTTTCTAGCCATATATGTGTACTAATTTTTTTTCTTTTTGGGGGGTGCCTGGGTGGCTCAGTCATTAAGCATCTGCCTTCGGCTCGGGTCATGATCCCAAGGTCCTGGGATCGAGCCCCACTTCGGGCTCCCTGCTCAGCGGGAAGCCTGCTTCTCCCTCTCCCACCCACCCCCCACCCCCCGCTTGTGTTCCCTCTCTCGCTGTGTCTCTCTCCAATAAATAAATAAAATCTTTAAAAAAAATTTTTTTCTTTTTTAATGTCATGAAGGATTATCTAGATAGTGAAATTATGGGCTTCTTTTAACTTATTTTCTTCCTTATACTTCCTGTTTAATTAAAAAAAAATCCCTCCTGAATGTTTCATTGATTTACCAATTTTAATGTCTTTTGATACATTTCTTCTTCTAGTAAGCATGAAGGTGTATAAATTAGGAAAATAAGCTAGATGCACCAGTGCGCAGAGAGAGGGCTCACTTGAGATAAGCAGTCATGAATTTAAAGTGAGACCAGTTACAAAAAAATAAAGAAAAAGAAAAAAAAATTAAGTGAGCCCAGTTATTTCATTGAGTTTTTCTCTAGCCATATTTAGCCCCTCAAAGCAGGAGGTAGAAAATTACATTGGGCCAGAATTAGGGTTTGCCAGAGGACGACACTGGAGGAAGAAAGCAAAGGGAGTTACAGGTTTGTGTAAGGCAATAACAGGGGCTGAACAAGGGACTCAAAGCTGAGTGAAGAGAAAAGTGAAGTCGTTGGCCCTTGAGAGGGCAGGATGGTGAGCGGAAAGTGCTAAGACCAATTTAAGTCCAGAGGAATCGAAGGGCTGCTGGACATGGGGAGCAGAGGAAGTGAGGTGAAGATCAATGGTGGTGGCCAGACAGCAAGGCGCTGGAAAGGTCATGGGTGCAGACAGCTGAGAGAGGGAAGACAAACTCCTGAGGGAAGAGGTGCTGGAGAGGCTGAGAGGTCAAGGTGTTGGAAGGATGGTCCATAGTGAAGTCTGGCTTTCCAAGAACGTGGACAGATGCAGCACGGAGACGTTAGCAGTGAGCTCAGTGCTGGAAGATTCCGAGGAATGAGGGGCAATGATCCAGGAATCTGTATGAGCACGGCACAGGGCGTAACACAGGCCACCTTCTGACGGCACAATCTTCAAAGCTGGGAGTTTTAGCAGAGAAGCAGAAAGGAGGGACACCTGCCCCACAGCCAGGCTCCCTGGGTGGAGGAGTAGGGGGCAGAAAATGGCACCATCTAGAAGGAAAAGCTGCACCTCCAGGGCAGACTGGTGCTCTGCAATATCATTCAGTACTTCAAAGAAGCTGGGAATGAGCTCCTGCAGCAAACTATGTATATGATTTAACTCATGGTTCATAAAAAGCGGGGGGGGGGGGGACCTCATAATAGGAACACCTGTGTGGCAGTGAACAAGTACATAGTATCATATTTTTAAAAATGTAAGATACACTCTCTCTGTTGTATCTACTGCAACTGAAGTCAACACTTTAAAAATCCGCAGAAGGCAGGGAGTAGGTCTCTTTTCAAATAATTATCTCAATACCCAGGATAAGTAAAGATTTACTAATAATGGAAATTATAATTATACTTTTGTATAAAAATTTATCAGAATCATTTTAGCATTTCTTGTATTTGAAAATTAGAATTGTGAGGTCTTTTTTTTTTGTAGAAAACTGTAGCCACCACACTGCCATTATTGCACTTTTATAAACTAACGAGGCCAGGACTTCAGAAGAAAACCACAACAAAATCCTTTTCCTCAGCTCATTAATCAAGAGCATTTTCAAAAGGACGCAAGAAACACAGTGAACATTAGGTTAATACACATCATGAGTTCCTGAGCGTATTTCCTTAATGTCACTGCTTCCTATTTCCCAGCCCAATTCAATGGAGGCCCCACAGAACTATGGTATTCACCACAGGATTTCCCCATAGCACTTCCCCAGAGGCTCACACTATCCCTAGATACTTTTTTTTTTTTTAAACCGGAGAGAGAGGTGGGTATGATGACACACTGCTTCTGTTAATCAGAAGGGAAAATAGCAATTATCAGCTATGTAGTCCTCTTTTGCCTGGACCCTTTCAAAGCTTAATAATGGTTTAAAGGTGCCCCGCTAAAGTGTTTCCAAATACTCGCCTCTTTAAAACATAAGACGACGAAAACTTCATTTCAGTTGGGAAAAATATGTTTACAAAATGTTAATTCCTATACTCATGTGTCCATATGTAAGAAGTATCCCGAATTTTTCTACCAAAAAAATAAAAGAGGTCTATGGGTCAAATAGGCAAACCATGCCCGGTGCCAGCATGAGGAGTGAGACCAACAGGAAGCACACAATTCCACTGCCCCCTCCAGCCCGGCTCCTTCAGGACCCTTCTCACGAGTGGCCACCGCACCAGCCTGACTGCTGTCTCCATAACTGTGGAAGGCAGCTCAGCAGCTCCTGGAGAGCTGCTTTACAGGAAGCCCAAAAGCTCTGGACAGCAACTTGCTGCCACTGGATACAGCTACTAAAGATGAACCACACTGGAATACCTCAAATTAAGGCACATTAAGCTATTCTACCAGATATATTTCAAAAAATACGAAAAAGAGTATTTATCTCCAGATAGAACAATAAGGCTTTCAAAACACAGCACCAAATACATACACAAGAATGACCTGCCCCCTCAGGCCACCAGGACAGAAGGTGTCCTGTGCTCTGGACAGTTTCTACAGGACTGCTCTACAGAACACATACAGCTGTGCAGCCCCCTTCTCTCCTCACAACAAACCAAAACAAAACCAACAGACAAAACCTCTCAAATAAGTTCAGGAAACCCTTGCCAAAGCAAAATTTAAAAGAATTATTTCAGAGGCTTTAATATGATAATCTGTACTGTGAATTTCTATGAAGCTGGAGGATGTTGGATGAGTTGACTTCGCCTGGTGGCATCAGTAGGGCACTGTGACTTCAAAAACACCTTTGGCACCTTCTAGATAGATTATGAATCAATTCACAGAAGTAACAACCCTCAACAGTTCATAATATATGCATAAGAACTCTGTAGATAACTAAATCCAAGTCCTTCGTTTTAGTCAATACCTCTTTCCCTTTACTAGTTTTTCATCAAAGCCATCAACACTGAGTATAAGAACAATGAACACACACAGCTAAGGCAAATAACAGATGTGATGAGGAAAATAATGAAAAAATTCTGGGATTGGCCATGATCCAAACTAGGAAAACAGCCTGAAGAAAGCCCAAAGATCTTTTCCATTTTATTTGCCTAAACTCCCTCTACCTGAGTGGCATTATCTAAGGAAAAAAATTGCTAAAGATTTTCCAATATCCTAATTATCTCTCAACCAGGCAAGTTATTTTCCATTCCCTAAAAGGGTCTATATTAAGAAGACCCTACAGACTACCTCCCAACCCACAGAGTTCACCCATTCTTGTCCATAAAGACTTTTAGTTGAGACATTTGCTGGTTCCTTGAAAACTTAAACTGTACTCAGTTAATATAGGCAGAGAAAAGTACTCCACAGGAGAAAAAAAAAACAAGGGAACAAACAAGGACAATTATCTGCATCCCCAATAAACACTGTGCCAAAAGATTCCAAGATGGCTACAGGGAAAAACTACCATTTCCAGACAACAACAGTTCAATGCAGTGCGATTAGAGAATTCGGTCATGCCAAAATGCCAAAATGATACCTATATAGTACTTAAAAACAGATTAAAAAGCAAATTAAAGAAGGTAGCAAGTGAAAATTCTAATAATCTACAAATCCATGAATGCACAAAAACAAAATTACATACTCTGCAGAATTTGGGATTCAAGGCACTTAGGATGATAAAGATTTGAAATTAGGTACAAAAGGACCCTAATTGCATTGCTTGAACACACTTCTTAAAAAATCAGTGACCTCCACTCAACATTTGTACTTCAAAACTTCACATTTTACTCTATGATGAACCTTCTAGAAAACTATACTCTCACCTGTGGAGGACAGTCATTTTTTTTTGTATACCAAACTTACGATAACATGGAGATATTTACTACGTTTTAACTAGAAACCTCTATGTCCTTTTGAAAAATCTCAGTTGAGTGTTTGTTATTAATATCAAAGTAAGACTGGAGATGCCATGTGACAAATGTCCCAGCTTCCTCTTTATGTAGCTCCCCATTTTATCAACAATAGATATTATAACTATTCCAGGCTAGAAAAAAAGATAACAGAATTCATGAGCCACAACCTGAACAAAAAGACGATTTTTTGCAAGCAAAAATGAAGTGAAAGGACAATGATTTGCTTTTCATTTTTACTCATCTCCTCAAAATTAAAGAAAAAGTTAAATTGAGCTTAACTTAGAGAAATGCCACCATAAAAAGAGACACTGCATGTAACTGGACAACATAAGCTAAAGTAAATAATGAAGATAATATAGTCACAGCATTCCATTCTCACCAGGTTGATCATTTTAAATTTTTTCATGACGTTTAATACCAAAATCTATGAAAGTGTTTTCTGTGGACTTATTTACCCTACTTGGGCAGTATCTGAACAAAATACATCAGGAGAGAATGTATTTTTCTCCAAATGTCAAATTTTATTACAGTCAACAGATAAAAATATAAAAAGGTCACATTCCTAGAGACAAATAAATACCACAAAGATTTATTTTTTTTTTTTTTAAACGATAGTTCTTTTTTTTTTTTTTAAGATTTTATTTATTTATTTGACAGAGAAGGACACAGCGAGAGAGGGAACACAAACAGGGAGTGGGAGAGGGAGAAGCAGACTCCCTGCCGAGCAGAGAGCCCGATGCGGGACTCGATCCCAGGACTCCAGGATCATGACCTGAGCCGAAGGCAGTCGCTTAACCAACTGAGCCACCCAGGCGCCCGGCCACAAAGATTTTAATATTACTTCATTCTGACACCAAATTCCACAGACAGTAGAGACAGCCACATTTTTATTAGGAACGTGAAAAATTCAGTGTTACTCACAAGTATAGTTCCATAACTGAAAAGGAATTCTTCTGTTACAACTTGAGGTCGAAATACCTGTGTGATGAGAGTTTCCACAGATTAAATCCTGAAAGCCACGTATGAGAAAACAGAAAGAAAATGTTTTGTCTGAATTGATGTCTCTAAGATTCGGTTTACCAAGAAGGGAGTCACCTTTACATTATTGTTTTGCTAATAAGATAGTACCTGAGAAGTTACCAGGTGAAGCACTATAGGCATCAGGGGTAGACACATTTTCAGCTGCTTCGCTTGGACTGTTGATGGGTGCTTACGACCAGAAACATTGGCCAAGGCGTTAAGAATGTCACCTGCAAAGCACATCCCAGAGCACACACGACAGTTACAGACCACAAATACTTAGGGACCACTAGTCACTGCTTGAACACTCATGGGGCTGCTGCGGTAATTACTCTCCAAATAAAAGAAGTGGGTAGGGGCTGTGTTATTTTATTCAGAAATACTGAGATTATACTAGAAAGCGGTGGCCTCTGGGGACAGAATGGATATAAGCTTGATCTTTCGTCTAGCAATTTTAAATAGAGTTTATAGTAATGGTTTTCGATATGATTATTCTTCCTTTTTCTTTTCTTTCTTTCTTTTTTCTTTTTTTTTTTTTTATTTTTATTTTGGTCTTTTCCAAATTTTAACCACAAGCCCTTTTCACACTTCTGTAAACAGGAAAATGTTATTTAAAAAATTAAAAGTGAGTGGCTCAGTCGGTTAAGCATCCAACTCTCGATTTCAGCTCAGGTCTTGATCTCAGGGTCATGAGTTCAAGACCCACGTTGGGCTCCACGCCCAGCCTACTTAAAAAATATATAAGTGAACAGATTACAGATTGCAATTTTTAAATAATAGGATGGAAGAAAAAAAAGATCAATTCCTAAAACTTCCCATTAGATGATAAGTCCAGTCATAAATAAAACTTGTGCTGTGGACATCTGAATCTTAGCAGCACATCCTAAAACAAGATGAGTCTGGCACTAAGAAATTCAGCTACCAATTGACCAGACTGTAGTCTGCAGGTTGAAATTTTACAAAAGGTTACAATCCAAAAAGAAATTTGAAATGTTCTATTTTCAGTCATTAACAGGCAAAAAAACCCTCTGCAAGTATTAGTAAGGAGCAAAAAGATACTGTCAATCAGCCATGAAGATATTTTCATTATTCTGATTTAATACTCTAACATTCTAAGTATACTTTACCATAAGAGATTGGATCAAATTTAACATTTTAAACCTTTCTGGTTTATAGCTACACCTGCTGGAAAAGCATGGAAAGGGATTTAAACAAAATGTACGCATTCCTTAGATTATTTTAGTTTCTCCAAATAACAATGAAATAAGAGATTAGCTGGAATAGACATCTTTTACAAATCATTATTAGATATTTGTATTTAAATTTTCAAACTCAAGAAATTTCTGAACTTTGAACTTCAATATCAAAATTCTTTAATATCTAAATGCTAATACCCATGCATTTTTAAATTCTTTTAACAGTAAATAAATGTGTGGCTATAACCTGAAGGAAAATTTTTCTTCTTCAGAATTAGGCAGAGAAAAATCTTGGGAAAGTCACCTAAAATATAAAGCCTAAGTTCAATTTTAAGCTCTTAAGGTGCTTTCCTTGTGTTTATTTTCCAAAATTGCCCGTTCACCACAGATAACACCTCAGTGTGACCTTTAGCCTGCTCGTTGCCTCAGTCATATCACTGACGCAAAATAACTGTAAAAACAGATAAAGCAAATCTTGAATTGAAATCTTGAAACTACACAATCAAGAAAAGGTGTAACCGTGCTCGCCTGTGATAAGCAAGAGGCGAGAATAAAAGAGGCGAAGCCTAAAAGCCCAGGCACAGAAAGGCAATCAGCAAGGGGCGTATGGATGAGCTTCCAATTTACCCAGGATCCGTGGCAGTTCCTGCACGATATGACGGATGAGAAGGTCCAGGCATTTGGACAGGTATTCATTGCTGCTTTGCTGCTCCTTGCCTGGAGTGGTCTTTCTGCTGTCTCTCTCGATGTACATCACCAGTCTACATACAGGAAAGTGCAAAAGATTACCTCTCATGATAAAACAGTTGATAGCATCTGTCTGAAAATGCCGCCAAGGCAAGTGTTTCCAGGGGGCACAGTCCCAATCATGCTGACATTTGGATTTGTAGCAATTTGTCAGGCACAGTCTAGTTTTGCCTTAGAAAAATCTAAATGTTTATGCAGTAAGAAAATAAGGCAACTTTGAATGTATCTGCCAATGTATTACAAAATAATGCCCTGATTTCATTTGGCCTTGGCTCATGAAAAGAAACCACATTCTTTAGATGACAGATGAAAGGCAGAAAAAGGCATCTGGGCAGAAGAGTGCTCTTGGAGTTTCAAAGATTCAAAGTAGAACCACAAATTGTCTGCACTTCTGTTGGTCATCGGTACTAAACTTGCTTGGAACCTCAGGCAAGTCACATGAATTCCGGCTCCTTCAGTAAATTGTGTACATAAATCCAAAGAAAAAGTTTCATTTCAGCACTGGGCGATACAGATAGCAGACACTATATCAAAACATCTGGATTTCACATGTCCCTTTGTCCCCTAGTTTTATGATCTCTGCCCTTTAACGAACATATGACTTCTTTAACCCACTGACATTCAGTACATCAATCTCTGACCAACTGTGCCCAGCCCAGACCCAAGGAACATACTGACCATCACTCCAGATACTGAGAGTGTGGTTGAAAACTTTTAGGCTCACATTTCATCCCCTTTGCTGAACCCACCAGGCACCTTCCCAAATGCCCATTTCTCTTGATCCTTTTTTTTTTAAAGATTTTATTTATTTATTTGAGAGAGAGAGAATGAGAGAGAGAGCATGAGGGGGGAGGGTCAGAGGGAGAAGCAGACTCCCCACCGAGCAGGGAGCCCGATGTGGGACTCGATCCCGGGACTCCAGGATCATGACCCGAGCCAAAGGCAGTCGATTAACCAACTGAGCCACCCAGGCACCCTTCTCTTGATTCTTGAAAGGGCAGTGAGTTCACTGATTCCATCACATGAAAGCCCCTTTATATCTCCCATGCCATCATTCCTCATCATTCCTCTTCTCAGCTCCCTTGTTCTCACTCATATCACCCAACTTCTACTTCCCAGAGGGAACTTCGAACCAACTCCTACTGTCAGTGGGAAAGAGGTGGTTTTGTACATAACACAGATATACATAAAGTATACTGAAATCATAATGCTTAGCATTCATGTGGCTCTCTTCATAGATCTGGTCATGCTTTTTGCGGTTTTTGCTTACTATTACTTGGAGCTCTACATGAACACATGCGGACAACACCGAATCAAAAGTCTGTTTCCATCAGCCAGTTAGTATCCTTTGTTTGAGTCACTGATTACAGCACTGGCCACACTCTAACAAATACATGGCATTCGTCAAAATGCAGGGAAAATACTCATGAATCAGCAGAAATATATCAATACTACTTAAAGAATTCACAGGACAAAACTTCTTGATGATGAGTAAACCACAGAAATAAGACCCTGAGATTTCATGATAAGTGGAATCTAAGAGCTTCAGGAGATGTGATACAATGCGTGGGGGCCTGCTCTGCCAGCCAGCCTGGACTCCCAGAACATGCAGCACCACACACCATCATTATGGCCAGGAGCTTCTGAGACAAGAGCAGCAACTTCAAGAACCTCTTGATTAGTTGGCACTAGTCCCTCAGCCCAATCCAAGGAGCAGGACCTGAAAATACCAAGGACGGGGAAACTTAACCTTTTCTGCTCCCCAAGAGGGGTTGCCTGACATCTCCTTGCCCAGCCCCACCATCTGCCCAACGGCTTTTCCAAAGTGAAAGAATATGGCGTCTCCTTCAAGATGAGTATTTCAAACACACCTTCTAACCATAATCTGCTCTTGATCCTACTTGCCCGTTCTTTCACTGTGACCGTTCCTCAACTTCGGGAAACCTTCTTCTCCTAATTGAATCCATGACATTTTCTCCCAATCCATCATCCTTCTCTCTTCTTCACTTACTTCCTGATTCGATTATATCCCATCATCCATCATTTCGATGCCCTTTTGTCCCCTGTCTTTTCTTTGTGCCCATCTAGCCAAATGAACTCTTTGGCTAGGTCTGGTTTCTGGATGCCTGCAGAGAAGGCTGCTGCAGCTAAACTCCACCATAAATGCGTGGCACCAGTACTGAACGGCCCAGAGCAGTAGCAGCAATCTGACTGTCCTGGTCAATGTACGTCCAGTCTATTTCCAAATTTTTCTTCTCTTCAAACCCCCAAGGGTCTACCCTCTCATGAGACTGTGAGTGATTTTGCCTCCTGTTGTACAGAGAAAATAGAAAGCATCATGAAGGAACTCTCCTCCCTAATTCTCGACATGGACACCTACTGTGCATCCCATCCTAGCTGCCTTTCCTCCCATCACAACAGTGGACCTCTCTCTCCTTTGCTCTGTGCTTTAGATCTCATTCTCTCCCACCTTCTCAGAACCTTAAAACTGCCAATTACTCATTTTCCCTTTTATATATTTACTTCCTCCCACTTAACAAAATAATTTTCATGTTCTTCTAGCGACTTCTTCATTGCCTCTCTAGGCCCCTTCAAATCTCTTAAAAGAGAAATCTATACCTAGCACCTCCACAGTTCCTCCTACATGTTCCTCAACCCTCCCCAGTCTGACTCACGCTCATCACTCACTTGAAGGTCACTGACAATCTCCATGCCATCAAACCCAGCGGGCACCTGTCAGCAGCGTTCAGCACTGTTGCCACCTCTTCTTGCTCCTCTATATATCATGACACCATACATTCCTAGTTTTCTTCTCCAGTTTCTTTAGTTGGTCCTTCTCTGTGTCTTTTGTTGACTCATGCTCCTAAATGCTCAAGTTTATCAAGACTCAGTTCTAGATCCACTGCTCTTTTCTTACTACCATTTGACCCAGGTGATCTCATCCCCACCAATGATTTGACTTCCACTATGTACAGAGATGTTTTCCAATTACATAGCTGCAGCCCAAACCTGGTCTCTAAGCTACAGATCTACATATTCCACTGCTAATTTGACTTCTGTTTTTGTTTGTCTCAAAGCACTTCAAAATCTACATATCCCAGATAAACATGATTATCATCCCAACAAACCTGGTGGTCTTTCAGAATATAATGTCCCATTGTAAGGCATCACTCTCTACCCTATTAATACAGGCCAGAAACCTAAGAGTCATCCTTATCACCTCCCTTTCTCTTACTTCCCATACCATGTCAATCATTAAATGCTCCCCAAACCCTTACACTTTTCCACTCCCAATCAAGTGCAAGCTTCCATACTGCCTTCTCCCGGGCAACTACAACAGCCTCCTAGCTAGTGTATGTCTTTCTACTCTGTCATTTTCACCCTTACACACCATACATCTATGTGGATCTTGTCCATCAAGTTGCTCCTGTTCTTAAAACCTTTCAAGGGAATCCCACTGTCCTGAAGTTCTTAAAACTCCCTATCATGAACTTTAAGGCCTACAGTGTCTGGCCCCCAACTGCATCTCCAGCTTTGGCTTGCTTGCTTCCCTCCGGTTACACTGTTCTTCCAGCCCCTCTCACCTTCCCCAGCAATAAGGTATTGCCTCTCTGCCTACCTGGCTCTTCTCTTCTCTCCTAGCCAGTGAGATTTTATAATGTATTTTTATACATTTTATAATGTATTTTTATACATTTTATAATGTATTTTTGATTATCTGATAATGTTTGGCATCCCAGGAAATTTAAAAATACCGTAGGGCAAGAACTATATCTGATTTTCCTCACCACATCTTTCCACTTATGAGCACAGTTCCTGGCATGAAATAAGTGCCCGATAAATTTTAGCTGACTAGATACATATTGCTGTTGAAACTGCCCTAAGACTTTACCTAGTTCTCTGAAGCAATTCCTTGGTCCTTACCTTTCCCAAGGCCTTTTTCTTAATTCTACTGTTTGATGTATTTGGCATTATATTGCTGGGGAAGGAAGGAACGAACGAACGAACGAACGAACGAACGAAGGAAATTTTTAAGAAAAGCTTTTTCTAAGGAAGAGATACCATAAGTAAAATCAAAAGACAAATGAGGGGAAAATATTTCCCCATTTGGTTCTTCAAGGGATGAATGGTTAAAGAAAATGTGGTATACAAATACAGTGGAATATTATGCAGCATGAGAAAGAAGGAAATCCTGCCATTTGAGACAACATGGATGGATTTTGAGGGCACTGTGCTAAGTGAAATAAGCCAGACAGAGAAGACAAATACTTCATGGTAGCATTTCTATGTGGAATCTAAAAGGAAGGAAGGAAGGAAGGAAGGAAGGAAGGAAGGAAGGAAGGAAGGAAGGAAGGAAGGAAGGAGAAGAGAAGAGAAGAGAAAAAAAGAGAAAAAAGAAAAGAAAAGAAAAGTCAAACTCCTAGCAACTGAGAGTAAAAAAGTAATTGCTAGATGCTGGGGGTGGGGGGGGAATAAGGAGAGGTAAGTAAGACAGTACCAACTTTCTGCTATAAGAGCAATAAGGTCTAGAGGATTTAATGTAAAACATGGTGACTATAGTTGAGAACACTTTATTGTATAACTGAAACTTACTAAGAGAGTAGAACTTAAATAATCTCAAAAAAAAAAAAAAAGATAAATCTGTGACTGGTGAATGTATTAATTAGCTAGATGGGGGAGTCCTTTCTTTCACAATGTATCAAATCACCACAATCTACACTTTAAATATCTTACAATGTCAATTATACCTCAATAAAGCTGAATTTTTTTAAAAGACAAATTGGGAAATATTTCCAACTCAATCACAAAAGACTATTTTATATGTATATACACACACACATATATACATATACATATCTATGCCTACCAGATATCAATTAGAATAAAACAAAGAGGGGCGCCTGGGTGGCTCAGTCGGCTAAGCGACTGCCTTCGGCTCAGGTCATGATCTCAGGGTCCTGGGATCAAGCCCTGCATCGGGCTCCCCGCTCGGTGGGAAGCCTGCTCCTCCCTT